TAGGTGACGTTGAACTCATGCCGCTCTACTTTCTCTTGTACAAAACATTATCGTACGTGTACATGTTTTGATCGTCCGTGAAGTTCGGGGTTGTAGCAGATTTTCATGCAGCTCTGATTATCCTCGTATATAGTGTTAGCCTGCGTTGTAGCGAAGCCAAGTTCTTTCAGGAGAAGCTTAAGGAATATCATCTCTTGCATGCAGTGACATAGGGCGATATATTCTGCATCTGTTATTGAGAGAACTACAGTATGATGCTTTCGCGAAAGCCATGAGATAGGACCACTAGCTAGCATTGTCACGTATCCTCTAACGGAGCGTCTCGAGTCGGGGCAGTTGGCGTAGTCAGAGTCACTATAGGCAATCAGTTGATCGGCAAGGTTTTCCGATGTAATATCGGTCGAGCCTCCCAGAAGAAGACCGTATTCTTTCGTTCCAGATAGATACTGTAGACCACGAATGACTGCTTTCTAGTGATCCATACCTGGATTCGCTAGAAATTGGCTGACCTCTCGCATGTAGAATGCCATATCGGGTCGAGTACCGACCATTAGGTACATGATACTGCCTACGGCTTGGCGATACGGAATCGATTTCATCGCATCTTTCTCGTGCTCACTGCTAGGCTGGCTGCTTACGGAGCGTTTGGCGTTCCGTTTTGCTGGTGTTGCAATAGGGTACGGAATGAAGACACTGAAGCGGTCAACGACCTTCGTAGCGTACTTGTGCTGGTGGATAAATATCGTTCGATTCTTACGGTCTCGTTGAATGGACCAGCCGAGTAAGTACTTCACCTCCCCTAAATCTGACATGGAAAATCGCTTATCCAGCGCTGATTTTAGCTCATTGACGAGTGCTGGTGTTGGCGAAATGATCAGTAAGTCATCGACGTACACTGCAATGTAACAGGTGATGTCACTTACTGTGCGTCGAAAGACACATCGATCTTTAATAAGTTTCAGGACCCAAGACTCTCTAGGAAGGCAGTCAGGGTTTGGTACCAGACACGGGGCGCTTGCTTCAGCCCGTAAAAGCTCTTAAGGAGTTTACACACTAGGTGCTCCTTGCCCGGGATTTTGAAACCTTCCGGTTGGGCCATGTAAATCTGCTCTTCCAAATAACCATTCAGGAATGCTGTCTTAACATCCATTTGGTGAGCTTCAAAGTCGAGAAGAGCTGCAATAGTAAGAAGTAGTCTAAGTACCTCTATCCTGATGACAGGAGAGAATATCTTGTTGTAATCGATGCCATATTCCTGAAGGAATCCTTTGATCACAAGACGCGCTTTAAATCGGTCGATTTCGCCAGTGCCGGTATACTTCACAACAAAGATCCATCGGCTACTTAAAATCTCCCTTCCTTTAGGAGGGGATACCAACACCCAAGTGTGATTGTCCATGAGGGACTTGTATTCCGAGTTAGCTGCTTTATGCCTGGGAAGACTTCATTGCTCCCCGATACGTAGTGGGCTCAGACACATACCGAATAGCTAGTAATGTGTACAGTAAATGCTGACATTGCTCCTGTTCGTGTATATCTTCCTCAGAGTTGAGAGTTACGTCATTCGCTTCCTCAGAGCTATCAATGGCTTCCGCAGAGAGGCGGGGTCGCCTAGGAGTCGAATGATGCGGAGGATCAGAGTCCGTCTCCGCTCGAAAAGAATAATGTATGGCTGTTCGATCAACAGCCTCCCTCAGTGAGGGCAGTACACGTTGGTTCACTGTGCCTGGTCTGAGGTGGGTGACGGTGTGGTCACTGGTTCTGGCTCCGGTGCTACTGTAGTAGCAGTTGCAGATGGCAGAGGTCTGGCAAGTGTAGCGGTAGATTGCTGCCGATTCGTGTACTGTGTGGGCTCTGGAGTAGACGTCAGGCCTGTGAGAGAGGGAAATTCGTCCTCTTTAAAGACTACATCACGACTGTAGATAATTGCATGAGTATGGATGTTCATCAGACGGTAGCCTTTTCTTATGGCCAGGCACACCAAGATACATACACAAACGGGCTCTAGCGTCGAGTTTGTCTCGGTATTGCTTCGTGATGAGGGACATATCCGCTGCATCCCGAATATTTTGATGAACTGCATGGATGGAATAC